GAGAAGGAACCCCGGCCCCAGGCGCGACGTTTTCCTGTTGCGAGAACGTCGCGGACGGAACCTGACTGCGCACTCCGGGAGAATCGCCGCGCGGCGCGGTGCGTCGGCTCGATGGCGGCCGACAAATGCGGAAGACAAGCGCCCGCGCCATCCGGCCCTGCGAGCGGCCCAGCCGCCCCCCCGCGCGACGGCGCGGCGCCTCGCTCTCGGCCCGCCGCGATCCCGAATCCAAGGCGCCGGCTTTTCCGGGGGCGCGTCGAACGGGGGCCCCATTCCCAGGCGCGATTCGTTTTCGCTGGGGCGCCTCGGACGGGGGCCCCCGCCTGCGCGGCGCGGCGCGATCGCGGCGAGACGCGGCGCGTTGGCCCCGAACCAGCAAGTCCGAAGCACGAAGCGCCCCCCGCATTTCAGCCCTGCGTCTCCTTGCCCAGCGGACGGCCTCGGCGCTCTCTTGCGCGACGCCGCGGCGCCTCGCGCTCGGCGCGGGCTCGGGCGTCGCGCGCCCCGGGCGCCCCCTCCGGGGCCGCCGGCGGGGGGCCGCCGCCGATCGACGAGCGCGCCTAGGGCAGTGCACTTGTTCAACGCGTGGACCTCGATGGAGGGCACGCCGCGACTCCGAGTCCAAGGCGCGGGCTTGTGCGAGGGCGCCCCGAACGGGGCCCCCAGCCCTGGGCGCAATTCGTTCGGCGAAGGCGCATCGGGCGGGAATCCCCGATTGCGTGCTGAAGGGGGGGCGATGTTGAGATGCGGCACGTCGGCTTTGCGCTCGCAACTACGTTCGTAAGACCAAGCGCCCCACGCGTTTCGGCTCTGCGTTTGCTGACGCAGCCTCTGCGCTCTCTTGCGCGACGGCGCGGCGCCTCGCGCTCGGGGCGGGCCCGGGCGCCGCGCGGCACGGCCGCCCCTCGCCGAGGTCGCCCGCGCGGGGCCCGCCGCCGGACGAGCGCGCGGCGGGCGGCGCGCCCGCTCGGAGCGTCGATATCGATGGAGGGGTGTGAGGGGGGGGGGGGGGGGGGCGTTTCGGGCGGTCCCGGGGCCTTCTTGGGCCGTCTTAAGGGGTTTCGGCTGTCTTGGGGCCCCCTTGGGACCCTCTTGGGCTGTCTTGGGGGTCTCCTGTGGCCATCTTGGGGCTCCCTGGGGACTCGCGTGGGAATCTCTGGGGCCCATCGTGGGCCGTCCGGGGGTTCTCTTGACCCGCGCTGGGGCTCTCTTGGGCCGTCATAGGGCCGTCATGGGGCCCTCTTGGGCCGTCTCGGGAAGATCTCGGGGGCCTCGGGCCGTCGCGGACGTTGTTGGGACCGAAGAAACCGTTCTCCAAAGAAAGATGTGGGATATTCGTATCTCTCGGAAGCCTTTTTGGGGGGCCGTTAGGGCCGTATTGAGGGCTGCTGTGGCCGTCTAGAAGCCGCCTGGGGCCCTCTTGGAGCGCTCTTGGGCCGTCTTGAGGCCCTCTGAGTGCGCTCTTCAGAAATTTTTGGCCGTTTCGAAAAGGCCTGGAGCAATCGGGGATTGTTTGGGGCGGGCAAAAACGCGAGTTAGGTGCCTGGGAACCGCGAATTCAAATTGCTGGCGCCCGTGGTGAAATTTATGGGGGGGGTGCCCGGCTTCCCGGTATGAGGATATTCGAGTATATGTATATGTATGTGTATGCATATATATATGTATATATATATATATATATATATACATACATACATACATACATACAGTTATACATACAAACATACACCTATATATACATACATGCATACATATTCAAGATATTGATGGCTCGCTTCGCTTCGCCACAACATCTCGCCTCTCGTCCTCATCCTTGGCGCGATGGTGCAGATCTGGAATCCCGCCGCGCTGTGGACGACAGAGCGTGGTGTGCTCGTGAACTTGATGGAAATCGGGTTGTGTATAAACATATATATATATATATATATATATATATATATATATATATATATTATAAGTATGATGTGTGTCGCGAGCTTGACGGCTTCGGGAAATTCGGGATGCTGTTGTTGCAAGACCGACCAGGGAGGACACTTGTGTCAGCGGTCTCGCTCGTGGTCGTGCTGGCGTTCATGTTGGACTTCGTGCCGGCGGGTGTGCTAGTGGCCGTGCTGCTCGTCGTGGTGGCGGTCGTGCTGGGGATGGTGCTGGTGGGCGGTCGCGCTGGTGGTTGTGCTCGTGTGTGTGCTGGCGGTCGCGGGGCCCGCGCGGGCGTGGGTTTTCATGAAGGGTGCGCATGTCGGGAAACGAAGAGCCACCAAGCGGGCCGAACCAATTTTTGATTCGCGTCGACGGTTGTTTTTTTCTCCCGGGACCTGGGATTGGGGGCGCCCGGGGCTCCGCGGGCAGGCCGGCCGGCGTCGAGGGGCGTGGGTGTGGGCTTTCGCAAGGAATGAGCATGTCCAGGGGCGCAGAGCCACCCGGTGGAAGTCGCCCGCCATGATCCCAGTCGGCACGTAGCGAGGCGGAACACAGGAACCCTGTAGCCATAGCCTACGGAACATCAGCGGAAGCCTGGCACGTCAGAAGTGTGTATGTCGTCGCTGGTACTGGGGGCCCTGGCGTTCAGAGCTCCTGACGTCACGGGGTCTGCGGGGGCCTTGGCGTTGTGAGCCCTGTCGGGTGCAGCTTCGGGCCTCCAAAGCGACGCAGGGTGGCCTCCAATATTGCAAAATCGAGGCGAACTAAAGGACGCAACCAACAGCAAACATCACGAAGGAATCACCCGTGTGGGTGCCGACGTATTTGTACATTATGCTGGATGCGGCGTCGCACACACACAAACACACACATATGTATGTATGTATGTATGTATGTATGTATGTATGTATGTATGTATGTATGTATGTATGTATGTATGTATGTATGTATGTATGTATGTATGTATGTATGTATGTGTATATATATATATGTATATGTATATGTATATATATATATATATATATATATATATATATATGTGCAAGGGCGTCTCGGACGAGAATTTCTGGTTTCGCGTTGCCCGGCGATTATGGCGAGATGTGGTATGTCGGCCTTATGGTAACCAGTATGTCCGAAGGAATAAACGCCCATGCGTTTCGTCCACGCATTTCATGGCGAGATGCGGCATGTTGACCTTGTGGTAAATAATAAAAAAGTTAGAAGAAAAACGAAACGCCTTGTGCGTTTCGGCCCTGCGTCTCCTGACCCAGCGGACGGCCTCGGCGCTCTCTCGCGCGATGGCGCGGCGCCTCGCGCTCGGCGCGGGCGCGAGCGTCGCGCATCTTGACCGCTCCCCATCAGGGTCGCCCGCGCGGGGCCCGCCGCGGAACGAGCACGCGGGGGGCAGTGCATTAGTTCAAAATGTGGACCCCGATTGAAGGCCCCCCCCGTGATGCCGAATCCAAGGCGCGGGCTTTTGCGAGGACGTCTCGAACGGAAACTCCAACCCCAGGCACGATTTGTTTTGGCGAGGAAGTCTCGGACATGAGCTCCTGACTGCACGTTGCGAAGGAATTATGGTGAGACGTGGCATGTCAGCTCTATGGTAACCAACCAATCAGAAAGACAAAACACCCTTCCCCGAGACGACAGTTTTTCTTCTTAGACCCGGAACGACGGCTTCAAGTCTTGAGCCTACGCGCGTGACGTAACCGCCGTCGGATCCATCCAAAACTGCACGGATCCAGTTTGGGTTTGGGTGTCTCGGTGGATCCGATTTCCGCCCGCACGGATCGCATTTCGTCTCATGTCATGGATCCAACACTCGTTCTTTTCCACGCGGAATCGATTTAAAACCCGATAGGAATTTATACGACTGAAATGGGCAACGGGGAGAAATCGCATCCGCGGACCTCGCAAGACTAACCTGCCCGTTTTAAGATTCTACGGGGGAACAGGGGGTTCGGCTATCAACTTCCTACGATGGGTCCTGCGCCGTATCGCGTACTCTCATCAACTTGCCGCGCGCGGATCCCACCCAACATGAATGCATATCTCTCCTCCCGGTTGCTGCAAACAGCTCGTCCAGACGACGTGCGTTCGGCGGCGCCTATGTTGCCTCGCGAACTCCTCATCGCCGTTTTCACCTCAGGAGGGGAAACCCTCCAATCTCAAGCTGCTGCCGCCGCCATCGTCGCCGGCGCCCACCCTCCTCCTCCTCCTCCTCCTCCTCCTCCTCCTCCTCTTCCTCCTCCTCTTCCTCCTCCGCCTCCTCCTCCTCCTGATCCTCCTTCTCCTCGTCCTCCTCCTTCTCATCCTTTGAGCTCCGAGCTGCGAAATGTGTCGAACGGTTCGAGCCCAGATGCCCTGGTCAGCCCTCCTCCCAGCCAGTGCTGGGGGAGGGTCACATCAAGAACCCAGAATGTGAGGCAAGGGGAGAAATGGGGGGAGGCTGCGGGCGCGTGTGCCGGCCAACGGGGCGGTACAAAGGTGCCCCGAGCGTGGGCACAACCCTCCATAGCGGGAAGGAAGGTCCCACCTCGGCTCGTCCCCACGAATGAGGCTCCTCCTCCTCCTCTTCCTCCTCCACACCGTGTTGTACCCAGAGTTATTCTCCCGAGTCTCTTCCCAGCCAGGCCCTTATTCACCGACCCCCAAAGCCTAGGCCCGAAGGGAAGGGGGGTGGGAGGCGTGGCGGGCGGAAGGGCAAGGGCCGAGTGGCTAAAACAGGTGGCCGTCAGTTTTTGTTGAACAGGTGCTACTCTACCGAGCGTCCTCTGAGTGGAAACGAAGTGCTGTTGGGCCAGATCGCTAGTTGGCGACATCAGGCCCTCGAAGCGACGCGACATATTACCAAGTAATCTCAGCTAGACCCCAAAGGAGGCTCAGTAGCGAGGCGTTGGGCTCATGTAGTCGACTCAGTGGAGATCCGAGGCTGGTTCAGGTTCAGGCTTAGTTCCTCCTCCTCCTCCTCCTCCTCCTCCTCCTCCTCCTCCTCCTCCTCCCCAGAACTCCAACGTCGTGCTCTAAGCGTGATCCTCGGAGGTATGGGCCCTTTTCCTCTTCCTTTTCAATCCCGCCTTCTTTGCAGACGTGCAGAAGTTCTTGCCGAGCAGCGCAATCTGAATGTAGGCCAGCTTGTTGAGGTACTCCAGGCACTTCTCGAAGCAATAGATGCAGCACTGGAGTGCCCTGGCGACGTACACCATGACGCGGTTATTCCTCGCCTCGGCCTGCTTCTCCAGGAACTTCATGCAGTACCTCGCGCGGTGGGGTCCGGAGCCGGCCTGCTGCAGCTGGTTGCTGCGCCCGCGCGCCACGAAGTCGGAAGGACTACCGACGCGCCACCATTGGGCCCGAACTGCAAAAGGCCGAAGGGAGTGTTTACCGTTGGCCGCCTGTCCAATAACCCTTCTCCCGACCATGATTGCTCCTCCTCCGCCTCCTCCTCCTTCCCGCTCCTCCTCGCTCAGGTCCTCCTCCTGCTGCCCCCGCCTCTCAGCAGAGCCGACCTCTGGACCGCTCTCAGGGTGAGCTCCGATTGGGATCTCGCAGCTGATCCAAGTGCGAGAGAGAGCGCGCCCGTGGCACATTCCCAAAAGGGGAGGGGGCCCTTGGCTATCCCCCCACACGCCCATTGGACCATTGGACCTTCCCTGCTGAAGCCCCCCCCCCCCCCTTTCCTGTTTTCCCGCCCTTTGAAAGCTACCCCCCCCCTTCTTTCGCGCTCTGGAAGCTAACCCCTCCTCCCTTTCCAAAGGGGGGGAGGGCTTAGTCTGTCGAAAGCCCCCCCCTTTCCTTGTTTCCTGCCCCTCGGAAGCTACCGCACCCCCTCCCCCTTTCGCGCTCCGGAAGCTACCCCCCCCCCTCCCCCCCTTTCCAAGGGGGGGCCTAGCTACCCCCCCCCCTTTGAACCTCCCTTGCCGGAAGCCCCCCCCGCCCCTCCCCTCCTTTTTGGCTAAAGGGGCGGGGGGCTTGGAAGCTCTCCCCCCCCCGTTGGCTACAGGGCCGAAGACCAACTCGGCGCCGAAAACCAACAGAGCGACGAAAACCAAAGGGCCAACGAAAATCGAAAAGGTACGAAAACCAACGGCGCGCCGAAAACCAAAGGAACGCCGAAAACCGAAACGGCGCCGAAAATCGAAGGTGCGCCGAAAGCAAAAATGGCGACGAAGAACCAAAACAAAAAAAAAAAAAAAAAAGAGCGCCGATAACAAACGGAGCACCGAAAACCAAAGGGGCGCCGAAAACCAAAGGGTCGCCGACAACCAAGAGGAAGCCGAAAACCAAAGGGGTGCCGACAACCAAAGAGGCGCCGAAAATCAAAAGGAGGATCGAACACTAACAGGAACGCCGAGAACCAAAGGAACGCCGAAAACCACAGGAGCGTCGAAAACCGAAAGGACACCGAACACCAAAAGGGCGCCGAAAACCAAGAGGGGCGCCGAAAACCACAGGGGCGCCGCAAACCAATAGGGCGCCGAAAGCCAAAGAGCGCCGAAAACCAAAATTACTACAAAAACTAAAGGAACGCCGGTAACCAAGAGGGCGCCGAAAACCAAGAGGGCGCCGAAAACCAAGGATGCGCCGAGAAGCATGACGGCGCCGCGGCGCCGAACACCAAAGGGGCGCAGGAACCTAAGAGGGCACCGAAACCCAACGATGCGCCGAAAACAAAAAGTGCGCAGAAAACCCACAGAGCGCCGAAAACCAAAGGAACGCCGAAAACCACAGGAGCGCCGAAAACCTTAGGAGCGCCGAAAACCAAAGGAGCGGCGAAAACCAAAGGAGCGCAAAAGGTTAAAGGGGCGCCGAAAAACAAAGAGGCGCCGAACCCCCCCCAAAAAAAAACGAAAACCGACGGGGCGCCGAAAACCAAAGAAGACAGGGCCCTCAAGCCAGGACCCCCCTTCAGCCAGGGCCCCCGCTTCAGCCAGCCTCCAGCTGGAGAAGCCAACAGAAGGAGGGGAGGGGGGGGTAGCTTCGGAAGCACCCCCCCCTCGTTTGGAGAGGGGAGCTTGGGCTCACCCAGGGCCCGGGAAACGAGGGGACGGGGGGTAGGTTCCAAGCCCTCCACCTTTAGCCAGGGGCCCCCCAGCTGCAACATCCAAGCAAAAGGAGGGGGGGGGAAGGTTGAAGCCCCGACCCCCTTTGAAAGGGGAACCTGGGCTGACCGTGGGCTCCAGAAGAGAAGGAGGGGGTAGCTTGGACGCCTCCCCCCCCCCCTGCAGCTAGGGCCCCCCCCCCCCTGCAGCGGGTAGCTTCGGAAGCCCCCTCCCCTGCTTCCAACGTTTTTCCAAGGGAGGGGGCGGGGGGGGGGGGCAGCTTCAAGCTGGGCCCCCCCTTGTAGTGAGAAGTGTGCCACGAGCGCGCTCTGTCTTCTCGTGCCACGAGCGCGCTCTTTCATCTCTGAGGAAGACAGCCCCCCCAGGAGACCGAAAGAAGAACAGCGTCACCATCCCTCCTCATTCTCCTCCTCCTTCCACCCCTCCCTGCATCGCCTTCCCTCCACAAGGAACCGTATGAACTGCACCAAGGCGATGATGAAGGAGCCGAAGGCGAGACTGCCCATGTGGTACCGGGTGACGTTCCACACGGACAGTCGGAGCGCGCCATGGACCCTGCCCCCATCCTGCTGGTTGAAGAACCAGACGCCGACGGTGCCCGCGATGATGGTCTGGCCAGCGGCGATGATGTAGGCGTTGAGCCACAGGTAGACGAAGAAGACGTAGGCAACGTAGTAGTCGATCATGTACCGGGGCGGCTGGCAGCGCCAGCACTCGCCGTTCGGGCCTCCGCAGGTCTCGTCCCTCCAGATCTCGCTGACGGGGTACCCGAGTTCGCCAGAGCCGTCGTAGGTGCACGCCTCCCACCCCGTGTTGTAATCCGCGTACCAGGCCGTCGGAGTATAGCCGTCGGGCACCTGGGAGATGATGAACGCCGCGCCGCACGCCCAGCCGATGCACAACAGGATCGTGAAGACGGACTGCACCATCGGCACGACGAGGACGCTCGGCGTCGAGGCGAGGAAGCGAGCTGCCACCTTCGTGCAGCGAATCGCCAGGAGAATCTTCGGGAGGAAGATCAGCACGACGATGACCCAGAGCCCCGCCAGACCGAGGAGGACATAGCAGGCATACAGCAGAACGTCCCTCCCAGTCTGGCCGCTCACAGCGTAGCCCTCCGCACACACGGGCGCGTCCAGGCCAATGGGAAGACACTCCTGCCAGCGCAGGTCCGTGTTCGTGGTGAAGCACCAGATCGTGGAGCCCTTGTTGTAATCTGTGGGCATGTACGGATTGCGGCAATAATTGTGGCTACCGATGCCCTGGTCGGAGTAGTTCCCCGAGTCGTAGTCTTGATTGTGCGGAGTGTCGGACATCCAATTCTGGCACACGGTACCGAACTTTGTCACGTACTGTACCCCTCTGTATGTGTTACCATCAACACCGAGGTCCTCGCTGACACTCTCGCCCGTTACAGCCGAAGTGACTGCGGTCGTTGCGAATGTGACCACCTGGGTGCCCGTCTGCTGGCCCGTCTCGAACAGCGTGGAGCCAGCGCACTGGATGCTCTTCACGTAACAAAGGCCGGAGAAGGCGAGAAGCAGGACAAATATCAAGACTATGGAGAGCCAGACGCAGATGCCGACGAAGAAGCGGACGAGGACGAGGAACAAAACGCCGATGACAAAGGAGCAGACACCAGTAAGCGCAAATGCACCCCATGACGCCTGAATGGCGCCCCACTGCTCTCCCAGCGACTCCGTCGCGCCGTTGGAGAAGTCGGTGAGCGCCGAGCTCACCATGATGTCGGTCAGAGCGGTTCCGAGCTGGCCGATCACCGAAGCAGCTATCTCGAGCGTGCAATAGTTCAACGCCGCCTCCGCGAAGATGATGCCCGGCATGGGCACGCAATATACTGCGTCGTATGGGCAGTCGACTTCCGAGAAGGCCTTGAAGGTGAACGAAGAGTTGGCAACTATTCCCAGCGGGCCAGTGTCAGCCTTCACGAGTTGCCACGCAAGATACAACTCATCGTTTGGAACGGGCTCAAACGTGTACTCCCGGAAGGCATATGCTTCGGTGCTGCCGTTGGCTGCCGCGATGTTTTCGTAGCTGGAGTCGCAGGTCCGCATGCAGACGTCATGGAGATACTTTGTCGCCGAACTCATGATGTCCGTAGAGAACATGTCCCCATTCGCCCCATAAGCGCTGAACAGGTCGGTGACGTCAACGGACCCAAGACCAGCGACCTCTATCATCCTGGCAGCGGTCAGGCTCGCGAGATCGCTGGCGGTGCCACCTGCCACTGCAGATGGGTCTTCCTGCTCAATGGCGGAGGCGCAGGACTCGCACGCGGTGGCGCAGCAAGAGCACATGTACATGTCATACTCTGTTGAGTTAAGGCCGCTGCCGATTTTGGTGTACAGCAAGTCCTGGGATGCCTTGGAACAGATTAACTGCTTAAACATTGCATCCGTGGTTGCAGACACGTTCATCGTCATGGTCAGCCACTCGTAGTTCTCCAACGACTTCGTGTTCCCCATCCCGCTGTTCCACTGCGTTTCGACGCCGCAATAATTCCCCCCAAAATCCCGTGGCTTGTACAGCCTGTCGATGTTGCCATCCTTAAGGCCCATGAGGGTCACAATCACGTACCCCACAATCGCCACGAGGAAGATGATGCAACAGGGGAAGTCGGTGCAGCGACGGTTGCCTGCGGGGCCCTTGGAGATGTCATTCTTCCCGTCCTTCGTGAACGCCTTGGAGGCCTTCTCCTGCCTCAGGGCTTTCAGGTCCTGCTCCTGCGCCCCCCCGGCGCAGCAGCAGCAACAGGCCAGGTAGCACGACGCGCAGCAGCCCTGGCCCTGCGGCTCGCTGTCCTCAGCGGGTTCGACCCCTGCGGCAGGCTCGTCAGCGGACATTGGTTGGTGCGTGCGGGCGGGCGGGCCGGCGGGCGTCAGGGGTCTGCCTGGCGGGCCACTGCTTGATCCGATACGCTTGAGCCTAGTAAGTTTCCGGTCAGGCTGCTTCGAGGCTGCTTCGGGGGATCCGCAAACTGAAAGACGCGAAGCGCTCAGAATGAGTCCAGAAGCGACCCGGCGTCACGAGGATATACCGATCTGACACGAAGGCGCCGAAACTGTACCGAACTTGGGTAAATAATGCTCGGCCAATGCAATCCTCTCTAAATCGGCACCCAACGAAAGGAAACCATGCAAATGCAACTTGAACCGATCGATCGAAGCCCCTGGGCCCCTCGAAAGCCCGATCATCCCAATCCCACGGAAATTTGCTAGATTCGCTTCGAAATCCCCAAACACTGCGAATTCAGAAGAAACTGGCCGCCTTGAGCCAGAAGATCATCTACGGCAAGGGATCGGCGAAAAAACACTCGGAAATGACGCCCAAGCAAGAGGGTCGCCGCAATGATGCGTTGCTAGGCTTTCGCACGTGGAAGCGGGAGGGGGCGCAGGGGAAGAGCGAGAGGAAGAAAAAAACAAGACAAGCGCGACGAGGGCAGGCCGCACGAGGAGGGTAAGAGAAGGGAGCATGGGTGAACTAGAGCTGGCCTAAGGGGTTAGGGTTCGGACCTTGGGGGTTCGGGTTCGGGGCTTGTGGCTTCGGGCTTCGGGCTTGTGGCTTAGGGATTAGGGGTTGGGGCTCAAGGCAGAAGGCTTAGGGATGAGGGGTTAGGGCTTCGGGCTTAGGGTTCAGGGCTTGGGGCTTGGGGCTTGGGGCTTAGGGCTGAGGGCTTAGGGTTCGGGGTTTCGGGCTTTGGGTTCGGGGCTTAAAGATTAGGGCTTTGGGCTTCGGGCTTCGGGATTAAGGGCAAGGGCTCAAGGCTTTCGGCTTAGGGCGCAGGGCTTAAGTGTTCAGTCTCAGGGCTTGGAGCCTCGAGCTTAGAGCTTAAGGCTTAGAGCTTGGAGCTGAAGGGTTGGGGATGCGGTCTTTGGATTCAGAGCTTACGGATTAGGGGTTAGGGGTTAAGGCTAAGGGTTGAAGACTTGGAATTTAAGGTTCGGGGCTTAGGGTTCAGGGCGTAGGCCTTCGGGTTCAAGGCTTAGGGGTTAGGAGTCGGGGCTTAGGGGTCAAGGCTGGCTTAGGGCTCGGGGCTTAGGGCTTGGGGGCTTCGGGCTTCGGGGTTCGGTTTCGGAGCTTCAGGGACAGGGCTCAGGGTTCAGGGCTTCAGGGTTAGGGCTCAAGGTTTCGAACTTAGGGCTATTAGGGGCTAGGGTTTAGGCTTCGGGGCTTCGGGGTTAGGGTTCGGGCCTCAAGGCTTAGGGCAGAAGTTTTCGAGCTTCGGGCTTCGGGTTCGGGGCTGAGGGCTGAGGGCTTAGCGATTAGGGCTTATGCTCCAGGCTCTGGGCTTACGGCCCAAGGTTCGGGGCTCAGGGTTCGGGGCTCAAGGCTCAGGGTTCAGGGCGTGCGGCGGAGGGCTGGGTTAGGGTCCGAGGGCTCAGGGCTAGGGCGCAGGGTTCTGGGCTTGGGGGTTAGGGCTCAGGGCTTGGAGGCCCAGGCTTCGGGATTAGGGTTCGGAGCTTGGGGTTCGGGGCCGAGGGTTCGGGACTTCGGGCTGAGGGGGTGAGACTCAGGGATTATGGGGCTAAGGCTTAAGGCTTAGGGTTCAAAGCTCACGGGTTAAGGCATAAGGCTTGAAGCTCAAAGCTTCGGGCTTAGGGCTTAGGGTTCGGGGCTTCGGGTTTAGGGTTCGGGGCTGAGAGCTGTGAGCTTCGGGTTCAGGGCTTGAGTTTACGGTTCGGGGCCTAGGGGTTGGGGTTCAGGGCTTGAAGCGTACGGCTTGGGGCTTAGGCCTCGGGGCCAAGGCCTTTGGGTGCAGACCTTAGGGGTTAGAGTTCATGGCTTAGTGGTCAGGGCGCAAGCTTTAGGCTTGACGCTAGCCTAAACTCAGTCAGCCAGCGTAGCCCGCGAAGTAAATACCCGATGTGGCATCGAGATGTTTCCTGGCCCTCGAATTCTCTGGCGGCACCGCGCGCGCCACGAGCGCCCCGAGACCGCCGACGCGGCCCCGAGAAAATCCTCGAAGGACCCAGAGAAAAAGAAAAAGAAAAACAAAAAAAACAAACACTGGCTCCAATAACACCGAGAGGCTCAGATTCTGACGGACGACCCGAAATGCGCCACGAGATTCCTTCGGCCACCTTAAGCAAGCAGCGTGCCGCGATAAATCGTCGATGGCGCCTTCGATCGAAACTCGTTGAGACGACAACCAGAAAAGCACGCAACTGGTATTTTCGGGCGCTGCTGCGAGCCCCGCGCCATCCAAATCTCGACTGCGTGCGGTAGCCAAGTGGCCAGTCAGGCGGTCGACGCCTCGCGTCGAGCAGTTCTGTACGTCGCAGCGCGCGCACGGAATCTACAAGGCTCGGCCGTACTCGCCCAGGCGACTGCGCACAGACCGCACTAGTACTCGCGCCGCTCACCTTGCACTGAGCACCTTCAATGCTCTTTCGAAGACACGGTCAGCGAACAAAAACACCTGCTGGAGGACTCGTCGCGACCCTGAGGTCGGATCCCCAGCAAGCCCACGAATGCTGACCCTGCCTGCCCCGAAAGCCCCGCGCAATCATCACAAGTAGTCGTCGGCAACGGAGATGGGCTCCGCGGCCGTCAAGTCGACAAGCTCGCCGAGCTTGGCGGACATAACGTCCCACTGCTCCTTCTTCACAGGCGCCAGCGGCTCGGGCGCCGCCGACCTGGCTGCTGCAGCAGCGGCCCTCATGGCCATGAGGATGTTATCCATGCGGCCGTCTCCTGCAGGATCGATCTTCATCATGCCCAAGATCTGCTCGTAGTGCTTGATGCTCGCCGCGGCGTGCGTGAACCAACTCTTCCTCACGCCGTAGTGGACCTGCCGCTGCTCCGAAGCCACCTCCACGCAAATGAAACCCATGGGGATGTACAACGCCGCCCCAGGCTGCAACGTCTGCCGCCGCACCCTCACCCCCGCGTCGACGAGGGGCCTGATGTTGGTGAGCTTGCCGACCGACTCCGTCAACTCCTGCTCCGCAGCCACGTCTGGGAACACTTCCGGAACCGCCTTCAGCATGGAATCGAGCTCGATCAGGAGGCGCTCGCACTGCCACGCCAGCAACACCTTGAAGCACGCCGCGTAGTTCGGCGTGAAGACCACCCGACGCATCTGCGGCGACAATCCGAACAGCCACGACTGCGCCTCGAACTGGTCGCCACCTGGAATAGACGCCACGGACAGATCAAGCTTCGCGCCCTGGGGAGCCATAGACACCATGGCGTCCGAGACGGCCTGCTTGCACTTGTCGGTAAGCTGGGACTGCCCGATGCCCGTGCTGGCCACCGACTCGATCCTGGAGCGCCCAAAGAACAGCGGGGCCGACGCCCCCTGCCCCCGCCCCCACATCCCCCGTCGAACCCATCACCCCCGATTCTGTCAAGTCAGAACCAGGTGGCGAGGCGAGGGGGGGGCGGCAGGCAGGGCGCAGAAGGTGCCCGCGTTCTCCTAGCCCTGGCCTCTTGTATTGCGCTGCAAACACGGCTGATGTCTGCAAGAAGTCCGCGTCGGCCAAGGCCCTCTGCACTGCGTCTGGAAGCTCGAACGCGGAAGGCGTGTCCACGTCGAACTGGCCCGTCCACTTCACCACCTCCACCATCTCGGCGAGCGCGTGCTCCGCCGTGAAGATCGACCGGGTCGGGCCGCTCCTGCCTCGCGCCCGCGCGCTAGCGACGGCGCGAGCCGCTTCCTGAGCCCGCTGCCTGATGGCAGCAATCTCTGCCCTCGCCGCCTCCTGCTCCTTCTTGCGCTGCTCCTTTTGCGCCTGGCCCGCTTTGGACCTGATGTGGGCTGCCATCTCCGCTGCCGTCTTGACAATGCCTGCTGCGGTCATCCTGGCGACCGCTAGCACCGTCTCGACCTTCGACGTGTACTCGCGGAAGGCTGGCCCAGACATCTCGAAGAGGCTGGCCAAATCCAGCTCGTCCATGGGCGAGTCGAGCAGATCGCACTGCTGGAACTCCTGCAGCTGGCCCAGCGCCCAGAACGCGAACCTCTGGAATTCCTCCGCCTGCAGGAAGCCGCGCGTTGTCATGCCCTGTATCTCGGCCACCCTCTCCGTCGAAAGCTCGGCCTCGCTCGCGCGGCTCGCGCTGGCCGCGTCGCCAGATCCACGAGAACTCCACTTGGCGATGCTCAGGCCCACGCCCGCACCCGAAAGGCGTCGCGCGACCTCGATCAGGCCACGCGCGAACCTCTACCCGCACCCCAGGACCGCAACCACCGCCATCCCCACCGCGACGAGCCCTAGGGAGGCAAGGCCAACTTCGCTCGGAGCGCTGGATGCGAAGTAGCCCAGAGCGCCCTCTAGAACCGCACGCGCGAAGGTGGGGGGCGCGAGGGAGGCGAGTGGAAATCAAACGTGGCCAGCGAACCTCGTGCTTGAACTGCAACACCCGAGCGTGTTCCAGCAGCACGCGGTCAGAGGCCCGCAGGTGACTCGGGTGCTCCAGCAGCGTCGACGCCGCCGACTTACCCTTCTTCGTGGCATCCAAGAGCTTGGCAGAAGCGACCCCGACCTCCTTCTCATACTTCGCGAAAGCCTTCGTCTTGGCCGATGATATATCCTCGCCGCCCGCGGCATCGGAAGCGGCCGTTCTCTTGCTAGTCCTGGCCCGCTTGTTGCCGTCACCCTCGTCGACGCCGATGGCCGCCTCGCCCATCTGCCGCTTCTTGCCAGCGATTGCGTCCGTCGAACTCATCGACAAGAAGCCGTCACCGAAAGACGCATCTTGCCGAAGAACGTGTCGCTCCAGCATGGCGTGGTACTCCTCTGGCGGCTTCTTGTTCTTATTGTTGCCTTCGACAGCTTGGTTGTCTTCGTATTGTTCACGGCCTCGCACTTTGCGCCTCTCCACGCTGGGGATGTACAATTGAAACCGCCCGCGAGGACCATTGCTATCCCTGTCGATGTTGCGGTCGTTCTTCAGCTCTTGCCTCCAATCGTCAGCCTCCTCACCCGAAAAGCCCTGCACCTGAACCGCCCAGATGAAGGAGGCCGCGTGGGTCATCGGGGCGTCCGCCTCCGTTTTGCTCCTGTGCGCCTTCTCGCCGCTCACTCGGGCGAACTGCGCAAAATCGATGAGGTTCTTCCGCTTGAGCTCTGGCGGATTGTCCTTGATGAATCCCGCCGCCCATGCGGGCGCAGGTGGCTTGCGAAACTTTCCGCTCTCACTTCCCCCAACTCCTCCCCCCCTCCAACCCCGCCCCTGGGGCCTGGGAAGGGAGGCCGCCAAGCTAAAGAGCGCCCCGAACAACACCGACTGAGTTGTTTGGGGCATCTCCTGCAACGCCCGCTGCCGCATTTAATCGACTAGGCACCCGAAATTAACATATGCTTCCCCTTGGGGCGTCGCAAGAGCAGGACGGCCTCGAAAGATCAGTCAGAAATACCGAAGGAAACCCGATAAGAAAAAAAAACTAATAAAAAAATGCCCCAAAACTGCCCGCAAAGAATGCCCAAATGGCTTCGAGATGTCTCCGCGAACACGCCGCGACAGCACCTCGATTTGTCGAGCCATCGTTTTTGGATGCGCTGGTGGGGATGCGCAAAGCGTGCAGACTTTGACGAGGTACCCCCTCTGCCTCTGCGTCCCGCGCCCACAGCACTTCGAACGCCTCCCGCTCCTCATCTGTGATGTCCTTCCTGTGGTCTCGCTGGTACTCGACGCACTGCGCACCCCTCTTGTGGAGTGCGCATCACCGAGCGCCTTTGATCTTGAACTCGCAGCATCCAGCAGCCCCGCGCCGATCGCCGCCACCGGCCAAAAACGCCTTCTGCCCACCGCGGCGGCCGCCGCCGCCGCCGCGACCCTCGCCGCGGCCGCGGCCCGCGCCCGCCGGCGTAGCCGGCGGAAGCAGCCCGCCAACCCCCAAGCCCATGTCCTCACCGAAGGGATCAGCGCCCTCCATCGCTGCGGTCGTGGCCCTGGGCGGAAGAGCCGCGTGCCAGAGCAACGCCTCGCCGCAATCACCACAGCCAAATGGCTATGAAACCGCGTTGAAGTTGAGGGCTTAGGGCTAAAGACTTAAGGTTCGGAGCTCAGGCCTTGGGGCTTAGGGTTCAGCAGTAAGGATTCAGGGGTTAGGGCTAGGGGTTAGACCTTGCATGCTTACGGCTTACGGTTCGTGGCGTAGGGTTCGGGGTTTACGCGTTCGGCTCAGGGCTTAAGGGATAGCGCTTAACGATGGGAACTACGGCTCAGAGATTATGGTTCAAGGCTCAGGGGTTATGTTTGGGCGAAAGAGACGGGCGAGGCGAAGAAGAAAAAGCAGACGGAGAGAGGAGGAGAAGGAGAAGGACGAGGAGGAGGCGGAGGAGGAGGAGGAAGAAGAGGAGAAGGAGGAGGAGGACGAGGAGGAGGAGAAGGACGAGGAGGAGCTGAGGTCGAGGCTGAGGCTGAGGCAGGCTGAGGCTGAGGCTGAGGCACGTTGATGCTGAGGCAGGTTGAGGCTGAGGCTCAGGGTGAGGCAAGCTGAGGCTGAGGCAGGCTGAAGCTGAGGCTGAAACGGGCCGAGGCAGAAGCAGGCTGAAGCGGGGGCTGATGTTGAGGAAGGCTGCGGCTGATGAGGCTGAGGCTGATGTCGGCTGCTGCTGAGGCACACCGAGGGTGAGGCTGAGGCTGACACAGGCTGAGGCTGAGGCTGAGGCTGGGTCTGACGCAGCCTAAGGCTGAGGTTGAGGCAAGCTGGGACTGAGGGCGAGATTGAGGCTGGTGCAAGCTGAAGCTGAGGCAGGCGGAGGCGGAGGCCGAGGCTGAAGGAAAACTAAGGTTGAGGCTGAACCAAGCCGAGGCTGGGGCTCGGCAGGCTGAGGGCAGACCGAGGCTGAGGCTGAGGCTGAGGCAGGCTCAAGGCGCAGGCTGGGGCCGAGGCCGAAACTGCAGGCTGACTGATGGCTGACGGTGAAGCAATCTGGGCAATAACACAAACATAACAAATATAATCAATGGATATGTCGGTATTTGTTTACGTCTCGATTTTCATTCTAAGTGAATGGTTCAAACAATCTCCAACCATGGAACCATAATCGAGCGGGAAAAATCATACAATTCAGATCTGTCTTAGATAGAGCCCTGTAAGTCCACTATAGCCCGCAGACAAACCATTTGCGCACATATGCGCAAATCGTTTTAAACACTCTCAAAGTGCAATGTAGGCTGTCATAACTGCGTCAAGAGACATGCCTTGTAACACGCCATGCATGCAACAAAATCGGTGCAAAACAAAGAACAGGGCAAACCACAATCACCTCGAAACAACTCAAACAACAACAAAAATAATCAACTACTAAATACAAGTGTGTAGGATGGTGCAGCACACGAACCCAAAAAATGTTCGACCTGCAAACAAAAAGCTCAGAACTACTGCATCTGATTCAGACACGTTGCATCGTGCGCCGAATCTCACGCAATGTCGTCTCTGCCTGAAACGGTCATGTTAACACATCTAAAATGGTGCTCAACAAAAGAAACTTTGGATTTAGCCTGCAAAGTACTCTGGAAAATATAGCTCTCGAAACGAAACGCTCGATCACGCAGAGACCTAAACGTCAGCTCTCGAAAACGAATTGGAAACCTAAACCAGCAACCACTTCGACCGTCTAATGGATTTCAACATCAAACATTCCATTCTGCAGGCATTTTAACGGCAAATGTCGAAAACGCTCCCTCCAATCGCTGGGATGCTTGTTGCTGCGCGGACTCTCGGATGGAGAACTCGCTGTCAATTTACTGATGCAGGAACGCCCCTCTGCGGTATTATGGCGCGAAACCTCGAACATAGTCTCTGCCTGGTGCATAATTAAAAAAATATATAACCGCATTGAAATAAATCAATCGCTGCACCTCGAATGATGGCAAAAACGAAAACCACGTCAACAGCTATATTGAAATCGCTGCGGTTCTCGCTTCAAGAAAAACATTCAACGCGATCTAATTTTCCAATTTCAAAAACAAAATCGTTTTTTCCCCCAAAAAAAACTTTTCATGGATCTTGAGCACTCGAGGATTTCAAAACTCTGAAAAAAAAAAACCTGCGGGTTCAATACGAATGGCAACAAAAAAAGAAAACAATACGTATCACTCAGGATCATATTACGCCAGTCCAGAATTTCAGACTTTCTGAAATAAGGCATCTCGAACACTGAAAATTAAGGCGATTCGAAAATTCCGGGTTAAGGCAACTCGAAAAATCTGAATTCTGCGCGAAACGGTTCTCGCCGAAAAACTTCAAATTAAGGAAATTCGAGAATTTTGGGATCCTCATCTGAATTGTGCGCAACGCATATCTACCGAAATGAACTGTGAACGGCAATTTCCGATTTGACCCTGGTCTATCTTATTCGAATTCTGTAATATCTCGATTTAGTCAACGTCTGTGTCGCCAGAATCTGCACTGGCGTCTGGATTTTGACAGCTTGAGACATCTCAATACATATTCCCTGATCAGATCTCGATTTAGATGCCGGACTTATTTTGAAACGCGCAACGCAATCAACATCACATTCACATTGAATACAGAAAACGCGAAAAATAATCCTTCCAAAATCTCTCGTGCATACAGCAGTTACAGGCAAACGTCAAATAATCCTTCAAAAACGCCACTTCAGACTCAATAGATATCTTGGAATAGTTGCGCTCCTCCAATTCCACCCCGTGCTCGTCAACAGCTGTAATCTTGCAACACATTTCGTACTTCGGAAACTCGTTCGAAATATGTCTTGTACATCTTGAAAACTTTTACCATTAATTCGCCTGCATCATTATCGGCAATCCTCCGTTCTAACTGACGAGATGGGTTAATAAACGCATGCATATCGTCACCATTTGAACTCTCAGATCTGCCACGAAACTCACGTTTCTTTACTCTCCAATCTGCGTCAAATCGCCGAAACAATGCTAACGTATTTGGCGTCGAAGTTACGTGTTTCAATTCATTCCAACTGTCGCAATTGATGGCGTGGGCTAATCCCAATAATGAAAACGTCCAAATGGCATGCTGACAGAGAAAATGACCAAAAGTTTTAATCTTCTTCAATAAAAATTGCGCAAGCTGAATAGGATGACTTGGAGCGTGACCTAGAATAACATTGTATACAACTAGAGCAGCACGCAAAATAAAACGATCGCAAGAACGGTCCGACGATGACGTATTAATACTATAATCGCGCGATCGCGGACGCATGCGTTTCTTCCAATCATTCTCGCCCTGGCAATGTTCAATAAACAATTGCTCCAAATATTCCATGTAGCCTTCTATGCAAGAAATACTCTCATCAGATTTTGATATAGCTAACTCAATTAAATCTGTCGATCTCGTGAAAATCCACAATGTTAATATAATAGCCTTCAACAATTCAGGTGCCCTTTCAAATCCAGATGCCACAATGTTCCACTTCGCGTCATTAACACGTGTGACATCATGATACTGGTGTTGAGACACTACAGCACAATATGATGAATAATGAAGCATCAAACTATTATTTAACGTATCTTCGGGGCACAAATGCAACGCCATCAAATGATAATCAACAATGGGAATACGACAATTTAAACGGCTAATCACATCCCGCAGCACCAAATCAACGTCCTCGTGCTGCCTCTTCCGTCCACTTTTTGGACCCGCATAATCAATCTCCTGCAATCCAAAACTGATTATGCTCCAATGCTGCCTTCTAATGAAATTGGAAAACGTGCGCGCAATAATCCAGGATAAACAATGAATAACACACCTGTAAATGAAATCGTCAGCTTCTAAATTCCTGGGATCTTGAATACGCTTCTGTTCGACGTTCTTTATCTCAGTTTTGGCATCGCGGCTCCCCTTGTTTCCATCATGAATGCCCTGAAAGCGCTTGGCACAATAATCTACAGTGAAACACTTATCGCTACCTGGAAGATGAACCATATCACACACTGTCTTACGGATACACTGAAACGAAACACTACGGAAATAATCTTCATGACTGTCATACAACGTGTGCCGGAATTGAGAAGCACATCGTAACATATTATCACGCTTGTGTCTCAACTGTTTCTTGCTATTCAACGTTGCCGAACGAATAAAACATCGTATTTTGATTTCGTGACTTGCCTTCGTTAAGCAAAACAATAGAAACAACAAAAACTGACAATATATGCAAATCGAGATTCTAATACATCAATCCAACTTAAGATATGTATTTAATTAATGATTTGCCTTCTGTAATCTGACAGAAACCATCAAAAAACGTCACGTTAAACTACTATGATTGAGCATTTGCTACATCACAAATATGCTGAACAACTAATCTGAAAACAAAACAATACTGCACCATAGAAAACTGTCTGTGCATGATTTACGTCTAAACTTGAAAACAAGCTACACTGGAAATCCCAATTCCATCTCCAATTTCTCTGCTAATCAATGTACAAATGCGAATGAACCAAGAAACGGGAATAAAACAAATTGATCGCACAACCAACAAGCGGAACCTCTTTTTTTCTGCAACGTCGGCTTATCAAATTTGTTGGGATCTGATATAATACGAAAGTTCCGGGCGACTGCGAGCAATCAAACACATGATACAACAAAACATGTTCTATAATTTTCATGTGCGCAAATCTCAAGCCTCTGGGGCGACTACAGCTCATCTACTAACCATCTCAACACATGCTGTATTCTACCAAAACACACATCATGCAATGCGGCGAAAGAACAAAACAAACCGATTATAATCGTAAAGAACAAGAATTGTAAACCAACTACGAGACAACCGCGCTGGCCGTGACCCTGGTGGACCGTGACCAAGTGACTATTGTTGTAGTGATATGAACCCTGCTGTGTACAATTGACTTAGATCAGAACCTATAGTAATGTTTAGCTCTGCTCGCGTTTGTCTC